GGCGCCAATAGGAGAAGGGCCCCGATTAACATTCAACAGGAAGGACTAGGGAACCAATAGGTAGGAGGGCGGCACTGAACAAGAGGGTGCCAAAAGGGAGAAAGGCGGCCTTCAAAATTTCACATGAGGGCTCAATAGGTAGGAGAGCGCCAATAATTATGAGGACGCCGATCAGCAGAAGGGCGGCAATGTGTAGCAGGGTGTCGACCTACAGGAGGGCGCCTTCGGGTGAGAGGGCGCTTATTTACAGGACAGCGGCTTACATAGGCGACCACCGTTACGCTTAGAGAGCTACAGCCTACAAATGTGGTTGGAGGGCGCCCGAGGGAGCCCTCCAACCGTATTTGGAGGGCGTATTTGGAATGGGCGTCCTCCGAGGGCGCCCTCCATCCGTATTTTCCCTGTTAACACATTCGCGATTGGAGGGCGCCCTCCAGTCGCGATTGTTTTTCGATTCGATTATATCACAATTGCATTTGCGATTGGAGGGCGCCTTCGGCGCCCTCCAATCGCAAAGGGCGCCTTCGGCGCCCAAGGGGGGGGGGGGGGCCATGGCCCAGTGGCCCCCCCCCTGCCTACGCCCCTGCATGTGGCATGCATAGTTTTTTTTTAAAAGATATGCCATTCGATTTGAGAGAACTACAAATCGGGCGTTTTGCCCCACCCGTGGGGCATAACGCCCATATGAGTGGGGCATAACGCCCATATGGGTGGGGCATAACGCCCAGTCCTGAACGTATCTTCATACTTTTGATACTCTGGCAAAATAATGTAGCATTCATCCATTCCTCATTTCGTTAGACTTCAACTCGACAAGTGGCCGAAATCCAACGAGGAACTCAGATTTGGGGGCAGGTGGGTATTGGCGACCAGACTCAACCGAAGGACTGTAGCGACCAGTAGCGACGCCCTGGAAAAATGTCCCTAGAAGTTTTGAAACCGCGGTGACGCCTGTAAAAAAGGGAACATTTTTGTGTAAACCAAAATGTGTATCTGTAAGTAAGAATCTTGGTGTAAACATAGAGATTAGAGGGCAAATTAGAGGGTGTACTGTAAACATTATCACTTTTTTGTGACGTCATGAGGAAACGTTCAGCACGGCAAAGACTAAATCAGGAAAACCTTGAAAATGGCAGTTGTCTTTATTTACTGAATTACGTTTCGGTCTAGATAGAAATTCTGCTGCTGAGAAAGACTACATACACTAGTAAGTATCCTTCTACGAATAGAAGGATTGTCGTTTGAGGGTTTAGTCTTTGGTTCAAAATTGCCATTGTTTAATTGATTGTGCATTACAAGCGCAACGTCCTCTGCGACTCAAATGTCACCGTTGCGTCATGCTTGTCATACCGGCTCAATTCAAATTAAAAATTGTAGTATGGTCACATATCTTTTTTTAGAGAGGTGGAGGGGAATGTTTCGTAAAGAATATTCCAAAGAGAAAGTCATGCTTATCAATCATATAATAATTGCCAGCCTAAAGCGGGCTTTTTTATCACCTGTTAAGTGTCTTGACAAAAAATAGCCGCAGCCAACCAATACTCCTTTGGTGTAACATAACATGTCCCTGGATTCAGTGAATGTTAATTGCTAGGGTCTGTTTCCATAGGTATTTAATAAAAGAATGGGAGGAGCTTGGATGAGTTTTGAGGGGAGATGTTTTTGAATGGCAAAGAAATATTTAGAAAAACAGCTGTTTGCTGGCTGCCTATAAATATTTCTGAGAGAAAAACAACTGTTTGTTACCTGCACAGTAGGTATATGTTTTATAGTGCCTTATGTTGACCTTGAAATAAACTTTTTTTTGTATAAAAGATGTTAAAATAGAAATTGTGAGATCAGAAATGTGTTTAGTTTTACCGCAAACAGCCACATTGGCTCTGCAAGTGCATTAGTTGGTATTCTCTTAGCAGACTTCGCCCGTGCTGCCATATCTATGTCTCACATGGGCCGCAATTGTCTTTTAACAGATAGCATTGACCTCAATAATACCTAGATGGCCCACTCACTACTTTTACCCTTTCCCAAAACGGCAGCGCCGCAAGTGGTCAGAGATGCGCAGTGGGAGGGGGAGGGGAATTTCGCCCACCCCTCCTGTTTTTCGCCAAAAACTCACGCCGCGAACATAATATTAATGTGAAATTTTGGTTACCTGTCCAGAATTGAATTGCGGATCTTCTCGTGCAAGAAATAAGAAAATTGGTTCACAAATTTTCTAGTAATAGCGGTGTAAAGTAAAACCTCCTGCCGCCGCCGCGGTGCGGCGGCGCGGCGGCCGGCGTCAGCCGTTACGCGCCGCCTGAATTGTAGACTGTGCCGGGGCGGGACGGTTCCGTCTTACATCGCGCTGGCGCTCCTTACGGCTGATTATATTCGATTCGTGTCAAATTTTGTGAGAAGACTAAGAAATGTACAGGCAACCTTATGGTCAAATAATTTTGAAAATCGGCCGGTAAAAACTTCAGTTATGAGTGTGTAAACACACAGCGGCGTATTTAGAAAATCGCGAAGGGGGGGGGGGGCAAGGGTTTGGAGGGCGCCACCTCATCACCCAAGGAGGGCGCCATACGGTCGCGAGATAAAAAATCACTCAACGGGGGGGGGGGGGGGGTTGGGAGGCGTTTTTTACCATGCCACCAGTTTTTTTGCGTAACCTCGTATAGGTCGTGCTGCATTGATTTTGCATCGTGTGTATTCTTAATACAGGGTGTCCGGATAGTTCTGGCGCTTTTCAACATTTTCTAAAACAAATGCCATTGGTTCATAGATACTAATCAATGGATCAAAACAATGACCAGGGACACCAAGCCACATGCTTCCGCTACGTGCTCATTCAATGTAACCACCGTCGGCGCCGACGACGGCCTCGACGTAGGGGAGGAAGCGTCTGCGGGTTTTGACGATGCGGGGCATTTCCAGGTCCTCCCATGCTGTCATGATGCGAGTCTTCAGCGACTCCAGGTTGGGGTGAGAAATGGCCTAGATCCGGTTCTACAAAACGCGTAGCACGCCTTAGTCGAGCGGGTCAGGTTAGGAGAATAAGGCGGCCTAATCTCATTTCGCCACGGTGATCTGGCCCGGCAAGCTCCTCTGTCAGTTTAGCTTGAATGGCGGCGGCGTTGTTGGAGGGTGCTCTGTGCTGTTGAAATGCGAAGTGACCCTTAGGGCATGTCGTCTTGACCCTCGGGTTGATGTGGCTGTCCAGGAACCCCTCGTGGGCCAGCCTGTTATTCATTTATTCGACATTGACGAAGATGATGGGACATTTTTGTCCATCAGACCCCCGCACTTTCTTCGATTGCCGCGTTGAAATGCTGCTCCGTTCCCATATCGCGTTCGAAACGGCCTGAGGATATTTTTTAAGGAATTCCCGAGTCGAAATAAACCTTTACCTGCTAAACCATTCATCGAAAAACGCCGCATCGCGCTGCAACTCGCGCCTCGTTCAAGTCGCACCCGGCCGCCGCGCGCAGGCATTCAGCGACAAGGCGCATCTTCGCCCATCTACCCATCACTGAAAACGATTTCAAGGTCATATTTACACGACCCCTGGCTGAGCAATCAACGAGGGGTCATGTCTGTGATGATTGGCTGAATGTCCAATAATCACAACGCGCGTTACACGGCGTCCAAAAGAAGCGCCAGGACTTTCCGGACACCCTGTACTCCAGGTCACAAAAGGTCAAGTGGTCTTGAAATGCTGCGCCGAAGGCGCGCGAAATTTTTGAAAACAACCTTTTCCTCCGTTTTTTAGGCACGCCTTTTATACGATCACTGTTCAAAGCTCCTCTCGCTCTTTTACCAAATTTGAAGGTATAAAAAATACCTAAGCTTTGGTCGGGCCGCTGCCACACAAACTGTATAGAAAGCTTGGCTCATGGGTGTCGATGTATAAAAGTTTATTGGCGGTGGCATATCTACGCACCAGATCACCGTATCGGATTGATACCGGAGCGCGAGATGCGTAAACATCATCCAAATTACCTCAGACCAGCCTTCATAGCCTTCTCACAGGTGCATACAGTGTACCCACATAACCAGTTTCAATCACCGAAACTTCAGATGCCTGCTGTTGCGGCCGAACCTGTTGACAATACTTAATCGTAATACATATAGATGCCATGATGCACGTAAAGTAGGATCAATCCGTTAAGACCAAAGACGTGTTTTATGCATCGTAGAGCGTAGATAGTTTTGGTAGGTATAGGTACTTCATTCATTGTGCTGAATGCACGTTCATTTGTGGCAGTTTTCACAGGCAAGACATCAACTATGTGCAATAGAACGACTAAGTTGAAGAACATGCCAAAGGAGTAAATAAATGATAGGAGGGCAGCGATCAACGGATGTTGCCAATAGGTAGAAGGGCTGCGATCCACAGGAGGGCGCTAATAGGTAGAAGAGCCCCGATCAACATCCCGAGTTTCGACAGTAGGGCACCGATAGGTAGGAAGTTGGCGAGCAGCAGGAGGGCGCCAATGGATAGAAGGGCAGCGATCAACAGGAGGGCACCAATCGATCAACAATCAACAGGAGGGCGCCACCAGGTAAGAGGGTGGCGAGGAACAGGAGAGCACCAATAGGAGGGTGGCGAACGCCATTCAGCGGAACGCCATCTGCTGGAGGTGCTGAACTGGAGCTGGCGCACCGGGGAGGTTCCCGCGTCATGGAGGGCGGCGGAAATAGTCGCTATTCCCAAGAAAGGGAAACCGCCCAACGAGACCGGCAGCTACAGACCGATCAGCTTGCTAAGCTGTATCGGAAAGCTCGCTGAACGACTCGTGCAGCATCGCCTCCAACACTGGCTCGAGCGCGCCGGAAAGCTGAACCGAAACCAGGCCGGTTTTCGGAGGGGCCACTCTACACTGGACCAGCTAGCCCGAGTCACCCAGACCATCTTTGACGGTTTCGAGTCCAAGAAACCGCAGCGAGCCATCCTCGTCCTCCTGGACTACGCGCGAGCGTACGACCGGGTGTGGCGGGATGCGCTGTACGCTAAGATGCGGCGACTGGGTGTGCCGGGTTGCGCCACACGCTGGATCAGGGCCCTACTCAGCGACCGGCGCGCTAGAGTGAGATGGGGCACGTCAGCCTCCCGGTGGCGGGTCTTCCAGGAGGGCCTGCCGCAGGGCAGCGTGCTCGCCCCTCTCCTCTGGCTCATCTACTGCAACGACATCGACGACCAACTCCGGGCCGGAGACTCGAGCCCAACGGTCTCCCTCTTCGCGGATGATGTGGCCCTTCTCGCGACGGGCCGCTCTCTGCAGGAGTGTGCGGACAGGCTCCAACCGGCCCTGGACGAGGTCAGCCGCTGGGTGAAGACTTGGAAGGTCCAACCTAGTCCATCCAAGTGCGTGATGACCACCTTCACGCTGGACCCCAAGGAGTGCGGCGGCAAGGTCAAGCCCCAGCTCAGCTTCTGCGACCATCCGCTAGGCTACGAGGAGACGCCCACCTTCCTCGGCCTGAAGTTGGACTGCCAGCTGACCTTCGCCGCCCACATCGCCGCCCTCAGAGAGAAGATGGCAAAGCGCCGTGCTTGCCTGTCAGCGATTGCCGGAAGGAGCTGCGGAAGCCACCGTAGCACACTCCGCATCGCCTACAAGAGCTACGTGCGCTCCCTCTTCGACTACGGGGCGGCCATCTACTTCACCCATGCGGCACCGGCTGTCCGCGAGCGCCTGGAGGTAGAGCAGCGGAAATGTGCGCGCCTGATTACCGGCTGCATCAAGCTCACGGATAAGGAGACCCTGGTGGCGGAGGCAGGCCTCCCTCCGCTATCACTCCGTGCCAAGGAGCTAGCAGCCGGCGAGTACGCGCGCATAGTCCGTCTACCTCCGGGAGACCCCGCTCGCAACCTACTGGACAAGACACCACCACCGAGACTCCGCTACCGGGCCCACGAGGCATGGAGGCGCGCGGTGACGTCTGCCGAAGAGGCGGGTCTGCCACCGCCGCCACCGGCAGACGAAGACGCGACCCTCTCATTCAAGCCATGCTTCCGTCGGGTCGGTAGGTGGGTCTGCGACAGGGCGGGCTTGAGCGACCTCCCAGTGGAGCCCCTGGCACTTTACCAGGGCGCACCACCCTGGCACCACTGTGGAGACGCCGTCCGTTTCGTGCTGGACCTGCCGCAGCCCACAAGGAGGACAGACCTGCCGGAAAAGAGAAAGGAGGCGGCGTTAGCGGCGCTGGCCCTCGTCCCCGATCCAGACTGTACCATCTGGTCGGACGGATCCGCCAAGGAAGGCACCATCCAAGGCGGCGGTGGAGCGATCCTGGAGCTTCACCGCGAGGGACGCACAATAGAGTGCGTGGCACCGGCCGGTCGAGTGTGCAGCAGTATGAGGGCGGAGCTGGTGGCAATGACGGAGGCCCTGACGTGTCTCCATGAGCTACCGGCCCCCTCTAAAGCACTCATCAAGAGAGTGCTGCTCTGCACAGACTCCCGGTCGGGGCTCCAGCTACTTAGCCGCGGCCCGGACGACCAACAGTCGGCCATCGGTCAGCGCGTCTGGGGCCTAATAGACGCGCTGACAGCCGCAGGGAAGGATATCACCCTGCACTGGGTCCCGGGCCACGCCGACCTCGCCGGCAACGAGGCAGCCGACCGCCTCGCCAATCAAGCCGCCGCCGACTGCGCTCAAGAGGAGGCCCCGATCGACCTCTCCAGCGCGCGGACAGCCATCCGTCGCTGGACATCGGAGCTGGCCTCCGCAAGGGCGCAGCGGCACCCATATCGAGAACCTACTCCGAGCCACGATGAGCTGGACAGGTGGGGCCAGGCCACCCTGTCCCAGCTTCGCACCGGCTACTGCCCACTGGTGCGAGCCACAGCTCATCGCCTCGGCCTGGTCGAAGACCCGACCTGCCGAGCCTGCGGCGAGGAGGAGGAGGACGTGGAGCACCTCCTGGCCGGGTGCCCTGCACACGTGGCGGCGAGGGCCGGCTTCTGGGGGCACTGTCCGACCCTGGCGGAAGTGCTCTCGGGGCCGGCCCAACACATCATCAGTTATCTGAAGAGAGTGGGGCGGGTGCAGGTCGCCACCGACCCGCCCCCGCCGGCCGCGCCTTAAGGCGCGGTCCGCGACCGCGCAGAAGAGAGAGAGAGGGTGGCGATCAACAAGAGGTCGCCAATAGGTGGGAGGGCGGTCATCAACTGCAAGTCGCCAATGAGCGGAAGGGTGACGATTAAAATGGGGGTGGCAATGGTGAGGAGGGCGCCTTTGCTCAAGAGGATGACACGAACAGGACGGCGTCTGTGCGGAGGGCGCTGGTCAACAGGAAGGTGCCAGTAGATAGGAGGGCGGTGATCAACAGGAGGGTGCCAGTGGTTAGGAGGGCGGCGATCAACACGAGGGCGCCAATAGGAGAAGGGCCCCGATTAGCATTCAACAGGAAGGACTAGGGAACCAATAGGTAGGAGGGCGACACTGAACAAGAGGGTGCCAAAAGGGAGAAAGGCGGCCTTCAAAATTTCACATGAGGGCGCAATAGGTAGAAGAGCGCCAATAATTATGAGGACGCCGATCAGCAGAAGGGCGGCAATGTGTAGCAGGGTGGCGACCTACAGGAGGGCGCCTTCGGGTGAGAGGGCGCTTATTTACAGGACAGCGGCTTACATAGGCGACCACCGTTACGCTTAGAGAGCTACAGCCTACAAATGTGGTTGGAGGGCGCCCGAGGGAGCCCTCCAACCGTATTTGGAGGGCGTATTTGGAATGGGCGTCCTCCGAGGGCGCCCTCCATCCGTATTTTCCCTGTAAACACATTCGCGATTGGAGGGCGCCCTCCAGTCGCGATTGTTTTTCGATTCGATTATATCACAATTGCATTTGCGATTGGAGGGCGCCTTCGGCGCCCTCCAGTCGCAAAGGGCGCCTTCGGCGCCCAAGGGGGGGGGGGGCATGGCCCAGTGGCCCTGCCTACGCCCCTGTAAACACAACATTGTGATTGCTGCGTTTCTCGCGCCGGACGATCCCGCTTTAGCCAGCGACATCTTACCCTTAGCAGGCTTCTAACTGCCATATTTATGGTTGAATTTACTAGCAAATTAATCATACATTCTCACAAATGTATGTTCTTTCGTATAGTGAAAGAAGAAAGAAAATCAGCCGATAACTTTTTGAGTTATCGGCGTGTAAACGCCAGGGCCTCGGCTAACATGTTAACTGGTGGGCCAAATGGCCCACCAGTGACCCGAAATGGCCCACCAGCCTCAAAGATTTGGCCCACCAGTAATTTTCCGAAAAATCTAAGTTTTCACATTTTACATCACGACGTAGGTAACATTGTGATACAGACAGAGACAGAGTCCCTACTACATTGTTGCATTTATTAAAAGTAAGAACTTGATCGTCGTTGCCCGCCTAATACCATCACCATTCCCGGTTTCTTGAGACAGCCGTAGGTTAAGCCTCGGTCACACTTCACCGGATTGGACCAATGGACGAGAAACGGACGGCGTCCGGTGATGTCCGGGGTCCGGGGGATGTCCGTTCGTTTCCGTTGGACGTCCCGGTTTCTCATCCGTTAATATCCGTTTCATGTCCGGTGGTGTCCGGTGTGCTCAACCGGACACCACCGGACATGGAACGGATATTAACGGATGACAAACGGACGTCCAACGGAAACAAACGGACATCACCGGACGCTGACAGTTCTCGACCGTTTCTCGTCCGTTGGTCCAATCTGGTGAAGGCTTTGAATTTTATGCAATAATTGTGAAAGACGTCTGCCTGTCAATTACAGATAGTGTCGGCGGCTTCCTGCCGATCGAGGTCTGCGAGAGTTCTTGCAAGCTTTCCGATCGATCGAGTGGTTGCAGTCACGCAAAAAAAGTCGCTCATATGGCAGATTTGACCACATTTGACCTCATTTGACCTTGAAGATATTGACCTAGGGTCATGAAATTAACATGCAACAGAGTTCCCTAGGGCCCCCACCTACCATCCAAATTTCGTTTTCTAGCTCTAGTGGGAGCTGAGATCTTAGGGGGGGGGGGCGACTCCCCCTCCCACCACTGGGCGTGGTACTCGTACTTGCAACCCAGTTCCACTGCGCGTGTTAACCCGCAATGGGCCGGGGAGGTGTGTTTGAACACCCCTCTGCGGTTTTTCGATGATATCTCAAAAACAGCGGCGCGGAACGCGCTCCGTGCGCAGGTCATGACCTGAGGTCAGCTCTGAGGATATGTTGGCGAAAGAGCGTTAAAAGAGCTATCCAATGCGCTTTTCCGTGGCGCTGTAGCTCTATCGGTTCCCGTCCCGAGTTAGACGTTGGCAGTTTCCAAAATGTTGAAATAACCAACTTTTTACTTTTGGTGACCTCTGGTGAACTGACCTTTGACCTGACCAAATGAAAAGGTCCTGGAGCTGTGAAGGTGCGCACTGCGCATGTTTCGGAATTTTGACCTCACCTCGGGACTTGACCTTTTGGGCTAGGGGGTCAAAAGCTGCACAAAAGACGTGCTATTTAAATGTGCGCATGCATGCCAGGTTCGCCAGGCTGCATGCCGCCGTTTTCAAGATATTCGTGGAAGTCAAGTATGTGGGAAGGCAGATTCCGCCTCCCCTCCGGTGTTGCTCCGGTGCGCCTTATCACCATTGTAACCGTCGTGCTGGAAAAGACTAGCCTGATGTCATATGAAGAAAGCATGATTTCGTTAAAGAAAAGTGTTAAATGTACCACGAACTCGATATTTTCCGCTTAAATCGCATTTAGAAAAGTGCCACCCAGATACCTATTGCCGACTGTGGCGGTCGGGAACTTCTGACCACTTCCAGGTGGCGCTAGTGAGCCTCCATGCGGGAACGACTCGGCGCTGGTGGCGCCGCGCGAGTGGGCCGTCTAGGTACTAATAGAGGTCAATGACAGATAGGTATATAACTAAACATAATCTAACCTGACCTATCTCTATTCTCTACCTACAACCTACCAACCTACAACCTACCAACCTATAACCTACCAACCTACAACCTACCCTACCTACTAGATATGGCAGCAGGGGTGACGTTTGCTAAGAGAATACTCATTAGCTCATAATAATTCAGTGTTTTTTATATAAGATAGGTGATGCATAGTAGGGCTCATTATCCGGAGAGCAGTAGGTTAGAAACCTAAGATTTGTTGACCTCACGGCTCACTTAGACCAACTCTCATGTCAAAGAGATAGGCCTACCCTAGGTAGGTAAGGCGAATGCCCACAATGTAAGGAAGGGAAGTGATTTTCTTGAAAACTAAGCAGTTGAGACATGAGAGTCCAATGAATGTCACTACCCATATCAATATTTTCTCAATTTCTACTGCATCTTGGCTATATCAACTAAATTGTAGTGTTAAGGTCGGATAGCCAATTATGAAGATTAAATCCTAAGAAGTGTTCATGATTGTCACAGCTACTTTGAATAACTGTTTTGAACATTTTGTACTCAATGGCAATTGATAAAAGTGACTGGATGTGCAAACATGTATCTCAAAGTTTTTTTACCTACGTATCGTGTATCAGCACTCAGCAGGGCTGTTAAGTCAACAATTTTTTTATGACTCTAACTCTGACTGACTTCAAAAATAAACTCCGACTCTGACTGTAACCCTGACTCAGGGCATTGCTTTTTAAGTCAATATAATGAAAGAAAGGCTCCTGTCAGTCGTCAAGAGTCCAGAGATATTTCTATCTTGCCTGAAATGACTGCATTTCATGACCTTGCATTGCAAATATAGCTTGCAAATAATATGCGAAACTAAAAGCAGGTTCTAACACAGATGCTGTATTCTGCATTTTTTCAGTGAAAACGCTCGTCCAAAAAGGGGGTATGGGCCCATGCGTCATCAAAATATGATTTTGAAAGGTCAACGAACGTGATAGCGTGAAGCAAACAGGTGTCGGTGTGGCTCAAAGCATGACTTTGAGCCATATCGACTCCGTTTTGGCGACTCCAACTCCGGCTCCGGGTAGAACCGTCGAGTCTGAGCGACTCGTAGCCAAATCTAGTATATGGGAAGGAGTCCACGAATTCGCGCCCAAGGCTGTATGTAGGCTTGCACCGATCGTCAATCCCGCCAAAACTCACTCGTGTTATCAACTTGATTCTGACCGAAAATTGAATGAATTAGCTTGAATTTTCCGACAGATTTAACTCGCTGGACCTATCATTGGTTTTGTTGATACCGAGAGGGAGGGGGTTGGTACTTGGTACACTACGACCCCTCACCGTTTCGCCTCTAATGAAGCCAGAGCCTCGCGGGAAAAAAACGAGCGCGTGCGCCGTTACGAGACGCAGCGATTGGTACGGGGTTTTAAGGTCTCAGGTCAACCGGTGACCTCTGAAGTCAGATAAGTGGCCCGAGGAAGAGGAAGGGGTTCGGTTTTTGGTTTTAGAAAAAAAAAACTTGCTAAAAAATGGCCGCAGAACCGCTAAGGCGCGTCGAATGTTATACTTTTTTGTTCGGGTGACCTGACCTAGACCTCGGCCCTCGGGTCACTGTCAAGGTCAGGTCAGAGCCCCTCAGGTCACGAAGTTCGTCAAAGCAGGTCATATTGCATATCATTCGATCCGGCAGGTCTTCCCGGGTCCATTGGGGGCTTTCCCGAGTCCCGACTCTTTAGCTCAATTTGATTGGGAGTTATTGACGAAAAATTTATGACCCTGGTGACGTCATACATGACGTCACGCAAGGTCATTTATGCAAATGTGAAGCATTGGACCTTACAAGAAGTGCATGAAATCACGATTCTATGTGCTTGAGATAGTTTAAGATTATTCCCGGCGGCAAAATCACAGTTTCCATTTTTTCTCATTGACTTATAATGGTGAGGTCACGTGACCGACCTGACCTCTTGTGATCTTTAGAAAAAATCCGAGATATACAAGTTGTGAGACCTCTGTTGAAGATGCCATCGACTTGTTCGTTCATAAGCCTACCATGATCGTATAAAATGGCTTTATTGTAGATCGAATAGTTTCTGGGATTATATAACAGGAAATGTAAAAGAGCAAAACCTACCACTTGATCTCGCGAGAGCCGTACATATATAATATCCAGTGAGTTGAAAATGTTAATATGTGAGCAATCT